TAAAATATTTTTTATACTAAACTTATATATAATAATTGTATGTGTTACAGATCTAGGCATATAAGACTGTTCCCCTCTTGGATACCCGGTTTGCGAGAAGAGGGGAATTACGCTTCCCTCAGATGTATCATTAGCGAGCATCCGGAGCAGACCGTTTTTCATTTAGTATACAATTATCAACTCTCCTTGACGATCCTCATGTGAGTATTATACATTTGCGATTTATATTGTATGTCGTTTTAAAATCTTGAAACATGATCATTAACTAGTTGAAATGTCAATATGTCAACTTAAAATCCTAACTGAGTTGAAGTCGTCGACGGAGAAGGATGGTCAAGATTTGTGTGTGAATTAATTGTTCTGCATACTCAAAACGACCAGATGTCTAATTCCAACAATGACCGAAATTGAGTATGTGAATTGAATATAATTTGTTGATTACCGTTTTGTATGAGTTAGCATATTTTAATGAAGTTAATAATTTTTAATGTTATTATTTGTGTAGGAGCACTGTCCAGTTGATCGACGATCACCTTGCCTAGATATCACCTCTGTCGAGGGATATCACCATCGCTCCTTCTCTCCCATTCAAACACATTATTATTTAGTTGCATGGACGATTCTAGCATGTTCGCAATTAAGTTTATTAAATTTTTTAGTATAGTACATAAGGTTGATGTAATCAACCAATCCTAGATACAAACTTGGATGAAAAAGTTCGTGTGTGATTTGAATGAATTTAATTGTGATCTGTAAATATTGTATATTGTTCTATTCGTAATTGTAAATATTGATTATTTAATGTAAAGTCGTTGTATATTGTATATTGTTTATTAAAATAATGTAAATACTGTCCATTTAATCGTTGATATGATTGGTAACTCTATGATTCTGTACGTCGTGCAACTTTGTAATTCCGCACATCGATTATGAAACCACTATTGTAGCTTGTTATGAATGTTCTCAATCATTGCGATGATTGGTAACTCTCAATCCTTCTTGAATAATGCATCAAGAGACTCCGCATTGTTTGACGTCATCATATTGTATCAACGTCCTGGAAAATGTGATCACCCCCAATGTTCAATCCTCATTTTTGTTAGATACTCCCATGTCGGGAATGATTTACTTCATATTTCAACCATAAACTTATTACACTCTTCAACACTGTAAGCTTCTGCCACTCTCCTAAACAATGAAACAATGTCATTGCCCCAATACCTAGTCCCCAGTTTGTCTTGTATAAGGTACATACAATATCCATGATATTCTTTGGAAAAAAACTTCAGCGATACCATTTGTTATAGACGATACCAGATTACTTACAAAGGTAAGGTCCTCGACTTCCCCTTCTCTCAACTTTGTGAAGAATTAACATATCGACATATCATTCTCGCTATCAACTATGTCGAATGTAATAGGGTAAATTTGGATGTTGACATCTTAACATGTTGCAATAATTAACTTGCCTTCGTATCTAACTTTCAATTTACCATCGACTAGAATTAGGGGTCGTATCGTATTTTGAAATCCTCTAATGCATTGTCCAAAACCCATGAAGAAAAACTTAAAGCAATTCTCGTCATCCGTCTCAATAAAAAATGTCGAGCCAGGATTAATCGTTCCCATATTATGGCAATGCCTAACCAATTTAACATAACTCTTTGCGGTCGAACCCATTAAATCCTCCAAAGCGTAGTCTTTGGCTTTTCAGGCCTTCGATAGCTCATGACCACTCCGTACTCTTGATGGACGTCAATGATATCCGAAAGTTTGTAGATCATATGTGTGTCTTGATACTTGTGCAAATAAACAGCTGGTTTAAACCATGTTCGGACTTGCTTGTGATCATTTCAACGAATTCCCACATCGCAAGTATGTTCCGGTGTATACTTCCGAATTACAAATAACTCATTTGTGTCCATCTTCAACGCTCACAAACGACACAGCAACTGTCGTCAACGCAGATAATTGTCAATAATAACTAGTTTGATTTCTTCACTTTGAACTCAAAGTTGTATTTCAGCGCAATCTAATGCACAGCTTCCCGCAAATCTTTCTTTATTTCAAATAGTTGTTCGACATGCATAATCAAGAACCACATGCGAATAATTAAATGACGGTCCACTCAATCCAGCACCTGAGCTCCCACCCCACTCACGTTCTTGACGGGATAAAGCAATCAAATTATTATTTGTAAATTCATTTTCATTCTCATTGTCAGAACTACTAAGGGAATTCTGTGCGTAATAGTGAAATCACAATGTGGAACAACTGTCTCGGGAATAACCACATCATCCACACGAACTATCTACATCATGTCCTAAAAATCATTGGCATTGTGATCCATCCATCCAAATTTTCGTGTTCACCTTCGTCGACACTTTTCCTCACCAAAGTCACGCAAAGAGGAGTCGTGTGCATTTTGTTCAATTCAAATAGACAATTCACTTCAGTATCAGAAGTAAACTTCATATGTGGAATTGAAATGAATGAATGCTCGTTAAATTAAAATCTCAGTTCCATGTCGTACTATAAGGGACCGACTTTCATCTTGTTTTGTAAATCATGGTACATTTTCGCATATGATGTACTCGATGTTATGAAAATTGAAATATCACCACGTATATCACTCGTCCATTTCATACCCATCGATTTTTTTCATCCAATTCGAAATTACCAAAGTAACAAATTGGAATTAAAAACGAAATAGAATTTTAAATTATAAAAAAAAATAGTGGGAAAATCGGCTCAACCACTGGATAACAAAATTTTTAATTCATAAAAAAGTTTGGCTGGGCCAATCGGCTTTGTTAACAGACGAACAATCATCGGTTGTTAAGGTTGGCCGGAATAGTACATTGCCATGAATCTCATTTGAAAGAATATAAATGCAAATGATTTTTTTTCTTGTTTATACTTTAAAATATTATAGATATATTAAAAGAATTTATCTACATATTAATCTATGTCAAAATAAGATTTATCGATTAAAAAAGTAAACCAATTTAACGAAAATGAAATTAAACATACGTAAATATATTTACCGATTCAAAGTGATAAATATAAAAAAAAATATATTTTCTTGTTCAATATTCAATAAATTTCTAAGATTTTGATGTTGAAGTAGATGAAAAATGATAGAGTTCTTATCTGTGTTGAAATAAACAGATAAGAAAAATTAGCAAAATTTGAAATTTTAAATGTGAAGTACTTGATTTTTATATGTTAACTAAAATAGTAGTATTGTCTTTTAAACAAAAGAATATTTTGTAATTCTATAACATACTTAAGGACATCTTTATCTTTTAACACTCAAAATATCATTGTGGAAATATGTAATTGTTGAAAATTCAAAATGAAAATTAGAGAGTTTGACTCAACCAACTTTAAAGGTACCCCTTAAGAAATAGACAAATTGCAAATAAAATGTATTATCAAATAAAATGTTTCTTGACCTACACTATGAAATTTTATGTATTAAAATTAGTGATTATTTTATATATTTGTGGGCCTTAGAGGATTATAATTAAAAGGAATAATTCGACCTTCCATTGTAGTCCTACACCCAAAAAACTGAAATATCAAGAAATTAAAAAATGATTTGGGTAATTATATTCACACCACAATTTTTATTTTTTGCACCATATTTTAATTGTACTTCAAATTCTTAATCTTTACTCATTACATCATTTTTGTCTTTAACGATTTTTCATGCAATTTTTATCCTCAAACTTAGCATTTATGAACACGTTTTATATTTGATAATAATTTATGTCCAAATGCCCAATGAAATGATATAAAATAACTAATTTTCCCGTCATATTTTAAAAAAATATAAAAAATACGAAAAATATTTTTTTTCCCTCATTTGAAAGCATGAAAATATAATATTTTAATATAAATTATCATCAAGAATGAGACGTACTAATTCATGGAAGGTTGAAGATAAAAATTCGACCAAAAAAACTAAGGAAATAATTGCTACAATGAGCAAATATTGAGGAACTTAACTGCAATTAAAATAGGGTATATTAAATAAAAATTGTGTAATATAACCACCCAAATTATTTTCAAGGTAAATTTCCAAATAAATCTCTCCAACCCTTCCTCTCCCCTGATTTCTCGCTCTCTATCGGGGAAATTAACACCGTTCCCTCCAAACCCTCCTTTCCTCCCACCCTCGTTTTCCTTCCCTTGCTATGATTTTCTAGAAAATTGATGAGCGCGTGGTTGCTTTCTTTCACTCTAAGTTGGGGGTTTATTTTTATTCGAACCGGAGGGGTTTAGGAAATTGGGATGGTGGAAGAGAATACGAATGTTGTGCTGTTTATTGTGGTGCAGATCTAATGGTGGGTGTACAGATCTGGTCCCGATTGTGGAGTAGATCTGGTGGCAGGTAATTTGATTTGGTCGCAATGGTAATGGTGTAGGCGGTGGTACAGATTTGGTGGCATGGGTTGGCGACCAATGGTCTATATAGATGGTGGTGGTGGCAATTTGTGGTGGTGTGGATTTAATGGAGGCTGCATAGATCTAGTGCCGATTATAGTGGCGATGGTTGTGGGGATCTGGTAACGATGTGGGGGGCAGCAATTGCGGTGAAGATATGGGCGCATGGTGTCAGCGGAAACTTGTGGATATTGGCAATAGGTGGTGGCAACTTGTAAGAACTTCAAAAGTTACCATTTCAAAAAATCTGTCACATAATTAAGGCAATATATAAGTTACAAGTTCAAAAAAATTGGATACATTAAAACAAGATTAACGTGTAGTTTAGGTTACAATCTATTGTAACTTAAAATTGGCATGGTAGATTACAGATAACAAAATCTTTTAAGGTAAAATTTTGGTTCCCAATCAAGGGCTCAAACCTTACTCGGCAAAATAGGAAGTACTAAGGATTGCAGCATATATTCTTACAAGCTCTTCATCGTCTAATCGGACTTTAAAGAGCACAAATCTCGCTCAACGTTATCCAAGAACCCAACAAGACAAACTCACATTGACATCAACTTTGGACCATTATCCGGCATGCCCATCCCAGCAGCTAGTTCAGCATCAAGTTGTGTGTGAGGTGCAGGCCCCATCATTTGCTTCACACTGTGCAAGAACAACATCAGTTTCCAATCAAACTATTGCCAAAGCACTTAGTTACAGGACCAGGAAAGTCAATATTCAATTACCCAGCCATAAACCCAAAATTTTCACATACAAACCAAGAAGATGAAAGACATCCTTACATCCCAATCACTACAATACTACGTAAAAGCATATGCTTTTCCCAAAAAGATTCAAACAAGCGACATGTAAAACTGTAGATGAGCAGTTGCTCGGGTAAATTGCACTAATGAGTAACGACCACTATACTTTCGACAAAGTTTACCATTGGCCAATGAAATTTAAAAGGTCTCTGATTAGCGACCGAAATTACAAAACTGTGACACCGTCTATTAAAAAAATAGACAGAATGGACAGCATGGATAATGTATAACTCACACGTGGAACCTTTAACCTTTAGTTTTCACTGTGTCACAAAAGTTCAATGACTAGTCATAAACGTCGTGGAATGTAGAGAGCCTGATGGAAAACATTGTGGAAAGTTTGGTGGCCTACGGGATATTAACCAATACTTTACTCTCATATTTTAGGGATAATAGTATATTTGGTCCCAACTTTTCAAAAATGTGTGGTATATAGCCCTACCATTTCAAAATAGCACCAAACATCCCAACGTACATTTGAGGAAATAGGCATGTTACGTCCCTAATGACGGAATCTGTCCATTTCAGCCGTTAAGATCAAATGAAAAGACAAAATTGTCTCCCATTTAAATAAACACAAAACCAAAAAAATATAAAGAGGAATAAAAATATAAACAAATCTACCCCAAAAATGAAGAATAACAAAGAGACCCTACTTCACCATCAACCCAATTGTTGCGGACAAAAAAACAAGGGGCTTCTTCCTCCTCACATTGGACGGGGGAATCCCACTGTTCAGCCATGATGGGGGAGAAATCCTCCTTTTAAAGTTCAATTGAATAAGGCATCTATTGATGAATGCACCACGGTATCTAGAGACTAGAACAAGAACAGAAGATTCAATAGCTGTAGCGCATTCATAAAGCAAAGAGCTCCATCAAATTCAGAAGTTAAGCATTCCATCTAAATCCAAGATCCTACCAAATAATTGATTAAAAGGGAAAAAATAATAAATCTATGCAAATATTCATTATCCACTATCTGAAAGAAATTGCAGGCAAGATCCATAGAAAAACCGTGGCGCCTGAGAAAGTAACATATAGAACTACATGGATGGCACCAAATTAATCACTGAAACAGAAAGTCCAATTATTTAAACACCAAAAATTGAAAAATGATGATTAAATACTGCATACCGCCTCCTATGCTTTTTAGTCTTGAAATGCTCATCCCTCACCGACACGTTAGCGAAATACCGACTGTAAAAAAAAAAAAAAAATACAATAACTAGGATTGAAAAGTTTATAAGATATTTTCCCACAAAGGTTAAATCAAAATGAAGAAATTACTCGCAGTGTAGACAGTAATATTGGCCCATTCCGGGGAGGTCTTCATCAACAGGCAAGGGTTTCCCCTCTCCATCTGCTTTATGAAGGTCATCATAAACAGCATCGTCGCGTAAACAAGAACCGGTTAAGAAAAAAAATCCGAAATAACTAAAACTCGACCTAAGATATTGCGAAGTAACTACAGTTAGAAAGGATATCTTTAAGAAGAAATTTGGTTCGTCGAGCAGTTTTGTGAGAGTAGCGGCGCTTCTTCACGCTCCGGTGCGGACACTTTCCACCCATCTTTCGTTATTTTTCCTCAATTTGTGAAATTAGGGTTCCCTTTCTTCGATTTAGAATCCAAAACCCTAGAATGAAATAGTCTTCGGGTATGTACTCTTATGTGTGCTGCACGACGTCGTTTTGGTTATTTGGATTTGGAGAAAACTTTTATCATTTGGGCCAATATTCTGGACTAGTCTTGTAAAGCCCTAATCCAAAAGCCCATAAGCATATGAGAATCCATCCCCCAAGAAGTTGGCTTCTGTTGCAGAAATTCATAATCTGATCTTAGTATTTCCAGTTTGTAAATGAAATTGTTTCATAAATTATTGTCACGTCTGATTCACGGCTCGAGAATATGCTGCAATTATTTGTATGTCAATACGAAAAACAACTAAATCTATACTCATAATTCACATTCCTCGTCATTTTGATTTCACGATTCACCAAGCTGCAACATAGCTTTTGTCTGTAAATATGGTATTTCGAATCAAATTCTAAATTCCCATTTCGTTTGTGAATAATTATTATGTTTCATCTTAGCATGTGAATATCTGGGTGTTGGGATAAAATATATTTCGTTTTTTAGTATGGGTAACCGTATATTTTAATCCGTAAGTGGAAAATATTATTTTTCATACATCATTCATATCGCAATATTTTGGATTTCATAATATTAAAATTCAATTTCGTAATTACTAAATCATTTTTGCTTAGAAGGAGTGAAGTGATTCAATCGTTCTTCATTTTACTATATTTTTAAATTAAAACATGAAAAAAAAAAAAATCATGATAAAGTATTTCCTGATTTTTTATTTTTTAAATAATAGGTGATGCGTATAATTTCCACGGAAATTATCAAATAAGTAGCAATCATGAATATTGTAATATCAACTGAGGTACAATTTCTTGCGATTTGTGGTAAACATACATAAACAAGTTTTTAATCTATTTAATCTTTAGTAATCATGCAACAAAAACTTGATTTACTAAGTTTATTCTTATTCGACTCTTCCAATTTCTTGTTATTAACATCGATACATTCATAAATTATTAAGTTTTTGCCAAATACAAATATATAATGCTTAAATTATTCCGGTCCAAACTCGGGCATTAAATCTAGTTGCAATCTGCTCTTTCTTTTCGTATCACCAAGACAACCGGTCATCAGAAAGAAGCCGTAGCAAAGTAAACTTCCATCAGATGGTCACATTAGGCATTATAACTCGTGTCCACTGTGAATAGGAGATCAGATCTGGTCATATCGTATAGAGGTCATCTTATGTCGGCTTTCATTTCTTCATTTTTGTTTAAAACTATATTTTCCACTAACTATACTTGTCCTTTCTGTTAAGAATTAGTATTCCTAATTCTACTACTAACAGCAATAAAATCGAAGAAAAAATTAAAGACGAGAACACGTAAGATTTATAGAGGTACCCCTCAATATGGAGCTACATCATTTTCCGTCTTCCAGTAATTCACTATAACAAAAAGAAGTTTAAAAGATAAAATCTCACACTCTATTTTCTCTAAGTTCTATCTTTCTTTTTAATGGTCGATTTGCGACTGATTTCAACTATAATCATTAAATTTTACAACTTAACACGTTGACGGGAATCATATCAAAATTGTACAAGTGGTTGACTTAGTGCAAGCTTATTCTTGGAGATCGTGCACCTCTATATTGCCTCAATTTGCCGCAAATGAAATAGTCAAACCTTTTATAGACTTGCCAAAAGTATCGAGCTACGATATTGACTAATTCAAATCTAATCGTACCTATATATAGAGATGGAAATTTTTCCCGTCCCGAACGGGTTGACGGGGCGGGGCAGGACGAGGATGCCCGACCTCGTGAAGAATAAAAAAAAATGAAAAAAAAAAATTGGATATTTTTTATTTCAAGTGCTTGCTTTGGATGTTAATGTAGTTAGTTTGAACATTATTTGCTTTAAATTTAAAAATTTTTAATTTGTATTTTAATTGGAATTTTTTTTTTTTTTTTAAAAAGGGGGCAGGCCCGCGCCCCTCACCCTGCCCTGCCGAGCCCCGAGCCCCTTCTAAGGCCCCCAAGTTATTCATAAGTATCAAAATTGTATGAGTATTAACACAGTGCAAGCTTATTCTTGGAGATCGTCCACCTTTATATTGCCTCAATTTGTTGCAAATGAAATAGTCAAACCTTTATAGACTTGTCAACAGTATCGAGCTACGATATTGCCTGCTTCAAATCTAATCGTACCTATATAGTTATTACCTAGTTGGAGCCCTCCCTCGTTTCCCAACTCCCCAAGTTATTCATAAGTCATGGTGTAAATCGACGAGTTGGGTCCAAGCTATGCTTTAATGGGAATTAATTTTGCTAGAAAGCTCTATATTGTTCAAAGCTTTAACAAAAGAAAAATGTTATTCATCCCCAGTGGGGATGCATCCCCAATCTATGTGGATGTAAATGATTGGTTAAATGATAGGTGAAATTAAATGACTTATTTAATTTCACCTATCATTTAATGACATATTAACGCCACATAGACTGGGGATGAATAACATTTCTCTTAACAAAAAAGTAACAAGATTGTGACGGCGCATTATGAATACAAAAATTGTTAAAAGTCTAAAGTTCATAATTTTGTCATTTAACTCGTGCAACGAAACTATTTCACCACACTTTATTACCCAATGTAAACGAACAAACTTTGATGGGAAAATAAAATAATTTGCCTTCTTTACACGTTATAGCTGATAATCACCTACAACGTTCAAGAATTTTGACAGTCATCGATAGTGATAAATAACCTAATTCTTCTCGAAAGATATAATTAGTAGAGAAAGGCAATCGAATCTTTTATTACCAAGAACAAGTTCTGAGAGCCAATCCTGCGCACCGTTTGTTTGTTCAATTCTCATTATACGGAATGTGACGAAAAATACTTATTCCGTGAGATATGCCTGGCCTGCATTGAGCAAGGAGAAGCCAAATGCAGACCCTTAATTTGTAACATATCATCCAATAGAAGACATTTATTATAGTAACAAACAATTCTTTAAGTGTCCCAGTTTCGTCATTCTCCTATCATATCTTAAGTCTTTTTTCAATCGATTTTTTTATTTTATTTTTTGGGAAAATAGACCTATTAAAAAAATGTTCTACATTGAAATTGAAAGCGTGAACACGACGTGATACATGCCTTATACTAACCTTAATTTTTTTTTAAAAAAAAGGGACAAAAATTGAAGTATCCTAAGAAGAACACATCAGTTTATTCCACTTATTGCGCAATTCGTATTTGTCTATCATTAGATTACATTATCATTTTGGCACATCGAAATTTTGGAGTTTGTGTTGTAATGGCCACCAGGCATAGGTTAGTAGTTAAAGTCCCACCTAAAAATTTTGGACCTTTGTAAGTGGACAACTTAGTCAAAATTTACTAATTTCTACGGTAAAAAATCTCATCTCACAAAAATCTGATTCCGCACTTTTTTTTTTATTTTTTTACGTGGATTTATAATTTTTTCTTATTTTTTAACCTGTCCAAAAAATTAATATTCACATTATTTCTCATGAAAACTACATCAAACGAACTCCCGTCGAATCCGATGACAACCCCTCCTCATTCCCATACCATCAATCAGCCACATCTCCATGCCATGCTCCACATCCATACATACATAATGGACCCCACCTCCCACGCCCGCCCACCCACTATACGGAATTGATTTTATTTAAGTTGGCCAATGCGAATTCATCAAATCGCAAATATTTTTCTATTTTCATTCTCTATAAATTCCGGCCGTTGCCTCCATTTTCTATCTTCAAACCATTCCATTTCTACTCAAACCTAAACAATCATCCTATAAAAAATTCCAAAACTAAATCAAATGGGTGAGGTATCTGTTTTCCTTCTATTTAATCTCAAATTCATATCATAAATTATTGCTTTTTACTCGTTTGTTTATGTTTCTGCGTCTGTATTATTCAGAAAGATGAGACGGAGACTGAAAAGGAGAATAAGAATGAAGGCGAGAAGGCCGCAGTGGCCGCGGCGGACGGTGGAGGAAAGAAGGACGACAATCCGATCACCGTCGTGTTGAAGTTGAATTTGCATTGTGAAGGCTGTGCCAAGAAAGTAAAACGCTCCGTTCGCCATTTCGAAGGTACTCAAATTTTCATTTTAAATTTTTTACTGTGCAATTCAATTATTAGGATCTGTCATGTAATTTAAGTGTTCTAAGTGGTTATATACATAGCTTTTATTTTCAATTTTTGTTTTATACAACTCGACTATAATTTTAACGTTCAAATACTGTTGCTCAAATTGTATAATATCTTGGATATTTTTAACGAACAAACGGTGAAATCAAAAAGTAAGGAGCGTGCTAGGGAACTCGAACCGACAACTTAATCGACGGTTCGGGTTGAATGAAATCTCAACTTGAGATTAAACCGACGGAATGAATAAATTGACTCTTGAAATCAAATCAACAATGGATCAAAACTGACTCCTGTCCGTTCAATTTGATGGTTTGGGTTAGGTGGATAATTTACCCCAATTTTTACTTTTTGAGTAGCTAACTATTAAGGTTCGTTTGATAGGTAAAAGTGAAAAAAAAAATTCAATTTCATGTTAGTTAAATAATACAAACCCACCAAACCCATAAGAATTCGTTTTCCATGAAACAAAGAAAATACAGTTTAAAGTAGTTGTATCTTAACCTTGAGAGGTTGCTCAATTGGTCAGACTTGAGTTTACTCCTCAATGATCACCAGTTCGAATCCTCTAAGGACCATTGAGGTGAGTACCCGACAGTAAACTTTAGAATCTCGTGAAATTAATTGAGGTGCATACAAGTTGGATCGGATATCTACGGTTATTAAAAAAAAAAAATGATTGTACCTTGAAATTCGGTTTCCATTTTTGGTTGTACCTTGAAATTCGGTTTCCATTTTCACTTCGCAATCAAACGGTCAAAGTTGAATTCATTTTCCTCAAATGTGACATTTTTCATGAAATTCGTTGCAATCAAACATTGCCTTAATTCTTAAGTAAACTTTCAAAGCTAGTCAAACGTCCTCTTAATGGAGTTAGGAAACCAAGAATCTAGCCTTGGCGATACCTAAACTCGTGTTTGTCGGTTGGCCAATTATATGTAGGCGTTGAGAATGTAAAAGCAGATTGGGGCAGCAGTAGATTGACCGTGATTGGAAAGATGGACCCCGCATGGCTCCGGGAGCAAGTTGAATACAAGACTAAGAAGAAGGTGGAGCTGGTCTCAACTGATCCCAAGAAGGACGCCGGCGCCAAGAAATCCGATGACAAGTCTGACAATAAAATAGAAGAGAAGTCTGACAAAAAACCAGAAGAGGAAAAGGAAGATGATAAAAAACCCGAAGAGGTAAAAAGAAAAAGATCTTCATTTATTTGGATTAATTATTTTTTATTAATTTATTTCCATTTTGTGTGGATTGTTCAGCCTACGCCTAGTACAGTGGTAATGAAGATTAAACTGCATTGTGATGAATGTGCACATAAAATAAAGCGGATCATAAATAAGAACATTGATGGTGAGTTAGCCTAATTGTATTAAATAGAAAAAGAGTAAATTGTTGTAAGATTAATGACGATATTATGTTTTGCCTATTTTAGGAGTTGATTCCGTGTCGACAAATTTAGAGAAGGATTTGGTGACGATAAATGGGACAATGGACATAAAACATCTTACGGCATTCTTGAAAGAAAAGCTAAACAGGAGCGTTGATATTGTTCCACCAAAGAAAGATGAAAGCGGTGAAGACGAGAAGGGAAAAGACGGTGGTGAAGAGAAAAAAGAAGGCGGCGACGGTGGTCAGAGTGGTGGCAATAGTGAGAAAAAGGATGACGATGGTGGAGAGGGAAGCAAAATCGAAGGGACAAAGGACGAAGTAAACAAAATGGAATATCAAGCATACAATTCCAATACACATTATGCAGTTCCGATGTACCATCAAAGTTATGTCCATCACGATTATACAGTATCAATGTACAACCAGGGTCATGTTAATACTGGTCATATGGTACAATATTCACAGGGCCCTCCTCCACCACCACCAACTTATGTGAACATGAACGATGAAATGTTTAGCGATGAAAACCCTAATGGTTGCTTCATTATGTGAAATGACAATTTTGTCATTGAGGGAGATAGTTCATATTCTCAATTGTAAATATAATCATAGACCCATATGAAAAATAAATAGAAATATATATTAGAAAATTACGTTGATTGACTTGTATTTGGTAACTCTTTTATTTACAATTATTTAGTTAAACGTTTAATTATATTTTTCTAATTTAAAAGGCAGTCGGTGGAAAGATTCCATGTGGCTAAACTTTCTGATTTGAATTTTCTTATTGAAATTTTGTCTCATTCAAGTAAATAAATTACTCATTATTTAACAAAGCGGATGTAGTATTCATTAATATTTCAATTAAAGTTTTAAATTTAAAATTTTCCACCGCAGCCCTTTTTTTTTGAAGTCATGACGTATTCTTGATAGCCAAATTATGCATTACTTCCCTCAATCTCGTGCAATTGACTAATAATTTGATGTAAAAAAAAAAAACTCAAACAATAAGAGACGATTCCAGCAGCTTCTATGCTGCGGAAACGCGTGTATCTAATAATTTTATTATAAAATTTATATAAGCAACGTTTTTGAAGAAATGATAAGTGTACACTCACTTTTACACTCCTCTCACATAGTGGGTCCCGCAAATATTTTACTTATGACTGGACCCACCTATGTTGTGAGAGGAGTGTCAACAATGTTGTACTAACCTCGTAATCACTAACTAAAATTTGTTGTTTTCTTCATGATAGGAAATCATAAGAAATTATGAACTTTCGTATCCTCAAATAGGTAAGTGACATTGAAACCTTTAATTTATGCTAAAAGCTTGTTTAAACTTTTTTTTGGCCCTTCATCAAAATAAAAGCTAAGTGAGAGTTCCACTTCAATCGAATTTTTTATGCATATAAAGCTCATTTTATACAAGGTATTTAGCATTATTTAATCCAATTTATCGAAAAAAAAAAAAAGTCATCCATGCTTTCTAGTTTAATTTTCATGTAGTATTGGTTGACATCCAACTTGCAATAGTTTGGACTTGTGTTTGTAGCTCTACATGGTGGAGGTATGTCTAGTCGCTTCAGTTTTATCCAAAAAAAGAG